GCTTCCCTGATTTCTATGACAGTAACCTTTGAAAACCGTCTTCATGGGACTCATCTCTGATTCTAAAAACTTAGATATGAGGTCTTTAAGATATGTGTCCCAACTGTAGGTTTAGGTGCAGATGTGGGCACTGCAAACACGAGGAATGCTGAGTCGGTTTCTGATTTTTAAAACATGTTTTTGAAGAGCAGAATTCCCAGAGTGAAGCATACTCCTTTTTCTCTATTCAGTACTATCCAACCAAAGTGTAACATTAGGAAAAATAAACTTTCACAAAGCAAAAATAATACCTTTTGTACAGAGAGCTTATCGTTTGAGATGTTATCCCATCAGATTTATGAAATAAATAATCTTTGGACCAGACAATTAAAGTAAAAGTTTAATCAGTCTTAAACATAAATTATTAAATAAATGAGGTATTGTATAAAACATCCACAATGAAATGCTTGTGACAGTATACATTTTGATTGATGGATTACTTTTTTCCACCCTCACATTCCATCCCTTAATGTACTGTCCTTTAACTGACAAGTAACTGGAATTGGTCCTGGGACTGTGTTGTTTGGAGACCCCAAGCCAACAGGAGCCCGAGTGGCACAGCAGCTGAAGGTTAGAGCTTCACACCCCCCGACAAGGCAGTCTGCTTCTGCAGAAGTGGGCAGCCGTGAAAACCCGAGGCAATGCGCTCTGTCTTAACAGGAGCAACGTAAGTCAGAACCGGTTTGGGTTTGAAGCCAAGAAAATCCTGAAGTCTGTTCTTCCCTGATTTCAGATTATGGTCATTAATAAGAATGAGTAGTAGAGAATTCTTCAATTTCACGTTCTTCCATCCTGCTGTTTTATATGGCACGTACTTCAAAATGGGTTTTGCCATATTGTCGTCACAACCCAGTGTCACCTCAGAGCCAGAGGCAACCCCTTTGCCGTGTGTTTAACTGTCAGGCCTCGCTGATTGTCTACTTCACGTGGCTCCTTCGACACCCCTTGAGGTTATCTTTGAAATTACTAGGTCAAACCATAGAACCTGCCTTTGGGGGCTAAAAAGAGCCAAACATTAGTGGTTTTATGGTACAGTCTGAGAATTCGGTAGGGCAAACAAACCTCTTAATGTCTGTGGTTCACCCCAAACGAGTTGACTTTCTCCCAGTGCTGTGGGTACAGGCTGCCTGCTCAAAACGAGCTCTTTGGAAGATTCTCCACTGGTTCTTGACCAGGCTCTTCGTTGGAAATCAACATTGTGCAAAGATGGAGGATTTCTGGTAGTTTTCAGACCACCCACTTGTCCGGCTTGTAGATTCAGGAAAGGCGACCACAGGCGCAGCGACAGCTCAGATTGGCCGGTGTGCTCCTCACTGTGGCCGCCAGTCTGGCGGTCCCCTCGGGGAGAGGAGGCCCGGAGGAGACGCAGCTGGATGAGGCAGAGCTGTGTGACTGGAGGGCCCATGGCCTCCCCACCGCCCTTTCCTCCGGGCTGGCTCTTGGAGCTTCCTCCCAGGGCTCTGTGGTCACCATCCTTGGCCTGCTCTGCTCTGTGGGCCTGGGCACTGGCCGCAGTCCCACCCAGGTGGCCCAGTTTGGCTCACATAAGGATGCCATTAAACCGACAGGCATTTCTTCCAAATACCCTCTCCCAAGCCTCTTTCTTTCCTCCCCCTCACCGCCCAGGCAGTTTTGAGCTGCAGGGCCCCAGGCCTCATAGGAGCTGCGAACCCCAGTGTGGCCTTGCTGTCACACTGTGCCTAGTTGATGTGCACGACAGTCGGCAGTGGGGCAGGTGCTGCAGGTGTGAGTGTTGGATAAAGAGTAAGTTAGTGGCCGGGAGTGCGGGTGTCCCTGATTAAAGCCCAGCATCCTGGCAGCACCAAAAAAAAAGAGTAAGTGAGGAGTAGGGCATTTGGTTGCCTCTTACTCGCCCAGTCTCCAGAGGCCACTCACCCACACCCCCTGCACTTGCCTGTCGGGAGGGCTGTTCCAGACGAAAGTGCAGACGCTATTGCCCAGTCAGGGCTTTGTGCGTTACACTGAAAACCGAGGGAGTTCTGGGTGTGGTCTGGAAGAGAAAGCTTGGCCTGGAATCTGAAGAGCCAATGCCTCCTTCCAAACCGAAGACCTTGGGGAAAGTAAGTTACGTCTCTGGGCCTGTTGATTTATGTGTAAAGTAGAGTTTCTTTTCTAAAAAAACACTCTTTTCCTAAAGCAGTTAGAAACAAATGAAACTGAGTTGTTAATTGCTAGTTTCTGTCATTCTTTACTTACCTGGGTGTGACTGGGTGGTGTAGTGGTTTACTTACTGGGCTGCTGAACAGGGAGCTAACTGCTAACCTTCCCAGCGGCTCTGAGGGAAAGACAGTCTCTACTCCAGTCTCAGAACCCCGCAGGGCAGTTCTGAGTTTGCTTTGGTTTGGTGCAACTGGGGTGTTTACATATATCTTTAGGAAAGACTTTATTTTGTATCTAAACCTTATAGCCACTCAACTGAAGATCGGTAATCTTCGCTCTGATGTCCCTCAATAGGTGGTGTTAGCAGAATGGATAAGCAAGTTGTGGTGTCTCCTTACAATGGGATCCTACTACATAGTAAGGGAAATGCATAGCCTGGGGGTTTTAAAGACCCGTTTCCAGCTGTGTGCAGGATTGTTCATTTAGGTGTTTTGTTTTTTCATGAGACGTGTCAAGGGAACATGTGAATGACTAATGAAGCAGACAGTTCCATCTCCTTTCATTTAACAAACTTGTCTAGACTTGATGAGTCGGCAGTACAGACAGGAAGGTTTGCCTCTTTTCACATTTCTTCTTTACCTGGATAGTTTTTGTTTTGTCTGGATGAGTCAGTCCCCTGGGAGTGACAGTCCCCTGGGAAAATGAGAGCACAGTGACGTCCAGACGTGTCGTCCACATGAAGCCCCAGTCAGATGCAGCAGACTTAGGTCATTCGGTCCGCTCTGACAAATGCATCTCGTCATGTAGCATCACAAAGTCACGTGAGGCTGGAGATCCCCTTGCAGAGGAGTCTCGGGGAGGAGATGAGCCAGACAGGGTGCGATGTAACCATGAAAAATACAGCTTTTCTCTAGTTCCTAAATGCTTCCTCCCCCCCACACACATCATGATCTGAATTCTACCTCGCAAGTCTGGCTAGACCAGAGGATGTACACTGGTACAGATAGGAACTAGAAACACAGGGAATCCAGGGCCGATGATCCCTACAGGACCAGTGGTGTGAGTGGCGATACTGGGAGGGTAGAGGGAGAGTGGGTTGGAAAGAGGGAACTGATTACAAGGATCTATATGTGACCTCCTCCTTGGGGGACGGACAACAGAAAAGTGGGTGAAGGGAGATGTCGGACAGGGCAGGATATGACAAAATAATAATTTATAAATTATCAAGGGCTCATGAGGGAGGGGGCAGCAGGGAGGGAGGGGAAAAATGAGAACCTGATGCCAGGGGCTTACATGGAGCGCAAATGTTTTGAGAATGATGAGGGCAATGAATGTACAAATGTGCTTTACATAATTGATGGATGTATGGATTGTGATGAGTCGTATGAGCCCCTAATAAAATGATTAAAAAACAAAAACAAAACAAATCCTGTGTGGAACTTTTTGTCACAGTTTCCTCACGCTGTTGCAATCCTACCCCAACTCCCCGGCCCCCACGATTTCTCTGGTCCTCTCTATTGTTTCCTATTGCTATAATCATGCCCATTTCAGATTTCATATGAATGAAGTTGTCCAACACACAGGTTTCCTACGATCCAAAAGGGGAGCATTTATTCTGGTGAGACTTTTCAGAGCCAAAGTGGCGAAAAGCAAGGGCGCTCTTTACCATTCATTTATATGGTGGGACTTTTTTGAGCATTCCCTGACTCCCCAAAATCACCTACCAAATCATACCAAAGGACACGTGAAACCTAACAGCATACTAACACACATACAGGTCAGAGCTGGGGCTGATGGTGCTGGGGTGCAGGCGTAGGCCCTGGGGGGTGGGGGAGAGGAGCTCGCCAATGCTAATCTGGTAGCTCCGGGTGCCCGGCTCCTGCTTTGTCTGTGTGTCCATACGTCCTTCCTTCATTTTCTTTCTTCCATCCCGCCTTTCTTTCCTTCCTTCCAAGTGAAAGCCCTCTTCAGGTTTATTTCGGTTAAGGAAAATGTACCAATATAGACCCTTTGTAAAACACAAAGTGGCGGAAAGAGCATTTTTGAACAGCGGGAGGCACCTGCGCAGTCTGTTGTGTTGGGTCTGGCTGGTCGCACTCAGCGATGCCCTGGGGAGTGGTCCTCCTTGGCTCTGGTCCCCGCCGCTTGTCCCTGTGTCTGTATGGCATTCCCGCTTCAGTCCCATGCTCTCATTCCCTCCCTTTCTGATGTAGGAGCATCATTGTGGTAGGTGTGTGACAGCCTTGTCTGCTGATACTCCTTTCTGGCCTTTGGATGGACTTTTCTCCCATTGTGGATTGGAGTTTTCTATTTCTTTGAATTTTAAACCTAAGTATCCATAGTTGGGAACTTCACCTGATTGGATGCTGGATTTTGATGCATACTTAGGTCTTGTTCTTGGAACTCGGGGATCCTCGGGGCTTGCTCTAAACATTGTGGGGGCTGCGCCCAAGCAGCCTGCAGGGGCTGGGGTATGTTCCACGGCCTATCTGTTCTGGAGGCTGAGAATCCAAAAGTCAAAGGGCCTCATCTGTTAGTTGTTAAACTTCGTGTTCCAAGTTAGTTTAAACCCTGTGGTCAGCACCTGGTACCTAGAGTACAGAGCAGGGTAGCAGATGCGGTCCCGGCTTGGGTGTGGAAGCTTTATAATAACATTAATATAATTGATCAATATAGTCAGATCAGTGAGTTTTAAACCGATTTGTGTGTGTGTGTACGCCAAAAGATTTTCTGTTGGAAATGAACTCCAGCCTGGGCCCGACTAGGCGGATGAGCTCGAGAAGTGCCCTCCCTGCCCCTCCCGCTCAGACTGTGTTGTCTTCCCTCCCTGGACCGTCCAGGCAGAGACTGTGTGCAGCAGTTAGCAGAGAACACCAGGTACTTCCGGAGGCGCCTGAAGAAGATGGGCTTCATCATCTACGGCAACGAAGACTCCCCGGTGGTGCCCCTGATGCTCTACATGCCGGCCAAAATTGGGTAGGCCCCCTCGCCAACTCTGCACACCCTCCCTGGGCCTCCAGAAGCTGGGGGTAGGACTGGGGACTGTGGGTTTGGGTGGAGACAAACGTTCTGTCTCTCCATAGGAGGCTTCACGTGCTAGACGTGCTGTCAGCTAAACAGCAGGTTTTACATGGAACGTATTGTCGATTTGTTCATCCTTTCATCAAGCATGTGAGTGCGTGATACGGGCATTGTTCTAGGGGAGTGGTGTCGAGGGGCGAGTAGAACACAGCAACCCTCGGCCTGCTGGAGCTCACATCCTCCTGCGCCCGAGCCAGCCCCATTAACATCACTACGTTAGTAGGCGTTAGAGGATAGGCTATAGGGAACATAGAGCAGCATTTAAAGGGGTCAGGAGTCCCTTGTGGGGCGTCTGATTAGGCTGTTAAATACAATTGGGCAGGCCTCATTGGGAATCTACTTCCCGACACTTGAAAACAAAGTGTGACTGTAACTGTACGGAAAACCATTCTACGCCTAAGTGCACAGAAGCTGGAGGATAACGGCGCTGGCGTTCCAGTGCATGCACCTCTTTTGGAATGGGTGCATTTTGATCAGATTAAGATCAGGTCCGGTTCAGTCCTCAGATTTAACTGAACTTTTCAAAGGAGCACATACACTGAATCTTGGAAGCCCCAGGGCCTTCCACCACCCCGGACTCCCGAGGGGCGCTCAGCAAGCTTTTATTGGTTCGAATTCCAGACTCACTGCATCCAGCTGATTCCAGCTCAGCGACTCTCGTGAGTGTCCAAGGCTGTAGACGTTTATGAAAGCAGAAAGCCTCATCCTGCTCTCTCGGAGTGGCTGGTGGTTTCGGACAGCTGACCTCTTGGTTAGTGGCCCATAGTGTAACCCACTAATGCCACCAGGGCTCCTATTGATGTGACTAGCAGGAAGTACTAACCTGGAAAAGCTGGAAGTATCGTGGTTCCAAAGATAGGAAAGAGGAAATCGGAGGAAAGGTGCTTAAGATCAGCCACGGAAAAGTCTGTGGCGCACAAGTGTACTGTGGCACACGGTCCCCAGGGACGGGGTCAGCTCTGGTACCCTGTCTGCTCTCCGCACGTGGACGGACTGGACAGTGTATGAAGCTCTAGAACGGAATAGACCGTTTCAGCATGTGGGCTGGAGGCACAGGGTGTTCAGCTCCAGCACCCTGAGGATACCCTGGCACTGGAGAGGGTGAAAGCCTCTTTGAAAAGGCTGGTATTAACGTAGTGCTCAGCACGCAGGAATCCCAGAAGCAGCGTACAGGAAGAGCTTTGCCAAGACAAAACGCATTAGCAAGAAGAAAAGACCAAGAACAATATAATTCACATAACGGAATTCACATGTAAGTTCGTACTGTGTTATTTAGACAAGATACAGAGGTGGGGTAAAGTCACCCGCCGCCAATTTGGCAGATGGCAGGCACTTTAAACACGACCATGAACCATGCTGTCTGGTGAATCGCTGCCAGAGTCAGCTGGCCTGACACACACCCAAAGGCACCCTGAGTTCCAGAGGCAGTCGTGCCCTGAGATGATTGGTGACAGTCAGTTTGGACAACCTGTCCGCAGAGAGGTGCCCGTATCACAGCCTTTGTGGCCTCAAACTGTCAGTCAAGTTAATTGTGGGCTTCCAGGGCAGTCTTCCTCATCTCGGGGTTCTCTCAGACTTCAGCCCCAAGTAATTGGGTTCGGCCAGCTGTGTTCTTTCTTCCACCTGGGTGAAGGGAGCCTGGCAGGAGAGGCCCAGCTCAGCGCGGAATGGACGTGGTGTTTGTGACCTGCCCATCTTCACTTTCAGAGGAGCTGGGGGCACTCCTTGTGGCAGGCCCCAGTGACGCTTCACCAGCGAGCCGTCAGGCCTTCCCACTGGACACATCCTGATTTGCTTTCCTCTGTTTCCTTTTGCAGCGCCTTTGGACGGGAGATGTTGAAGCGGAACATCGGTGTGGTTGTGGTGGGATTTCCTGCGACCCCGATCATTGAGTCCAGAGCCAGGTTTTGCTTGTCGGCAGCTCACACCAAAGAATTACTCGATACTGTGAGTAGACGTTTCGGCCTGGATGTAACTAAATATGTCTGCTTCTGAGAAAGCCTTCATGTCAGATGAGCTTGAAGGCAGGCTAATCCTGATGTTCTTGGAGCAAATGAATTGGCAAAACAGAGGCAGTTGTACCCCGTGCTGCTAGGAATATTCTCACTCCACCTGAATGGCAGCCTCTGTAGATGGGCCCTGGGCCCTGCACCAAGAGGGCCGTGCAGAGCTCTCTGCCTTCCTCCTGCTGCACTCAGTGCCCCAGGGATACAGCTCTCTGCCTACGCTAACCTCTGTGGACGTTGTCACTCTGCCTGCACATCTTCTCTCTCGAGCATCCTTTCCCCTTTGTCTGGCTGCCTCCGCACGTTCTCTTTGCCTTTCTAAATCTCGTCTCTTTCGGTGTTGCTGTGGAGGACATGTACAACAAAATGTACACCAGGCGCAGTTGTTTGTACGTGTGCAGCTTAGTGGCACTGTGCATTCTCTGAGTTGTGCAGACATTCTCACTTCTCGAGTTGCTCCTCCCTCATGAACACAAACTCGCTGCCCCCACCTGCACCCCCAAAGCTTCCTGTCTGGTCCTTCAAGTTGCTGTTGTCAATCTGAATCCACAAAGCTGCTTCTTCGAAGAGCTTACAGCGCAGGGTGAATGTTTACTTTTTTTTTTTTTTAACTGACCAAGCTAAACTGTTATTCAATCTTAAGATGACTTCTGTGGATGTTTGAGATTTCATGGTGATTGGGGCGGTGGTTCACCACTGTGTTTCATCCACCCTCAGTGACTCCAGAAAGTCCAGCATCCATGAGCATTTGCAATTCTGCTGTACATTTCTCCCTTCTAAGCAGGATTCTTCGGTAGAGTGTTTCATCAAAGCCGCTCAGGAATGGTAACTGGGTAGCATCCAGATGTGGTCTCCTGGCCCAGGAGGCAGTTGTTCCTGGATACCAGGAGCCAGCCATACACGCCATGTCCCCTCCTATTCCTGACTTCCTCCTCCTCTCTTTGTTGCTCCAGGTGACTAGGACCTACCTACTCTTGGGTCAGGGATGGTTGCTTGCTCAGAAAAGCAGCTCTTTCCTACCGCTGTACTGCCTTCTCTGGGAGTAAATGGACTAGGGTAGCAGTCCCTCCCCTGATAGCCTCAGCCTCCGCTGTGTATAGAAAACCACCCAGGAAGCGGTGTGCATGCGTCTGACCGGCCCTGGCTGACCTTTGCTCTGTCCCGTGTGTTGCAGGCTTTGAAAGAGATAGATGAAGTTGGGGACCTACTGCAGCTGAAGTATTCCCGGCATCGGTTGGTGCCTCTCCTGGACAGGCCTTTTGACGAGACGACTTACGAAGAGACAGAAGACTGAGCCTTTCTGGTGCTCCCGGCGACAACCCTCCTCCCCTTGCCCAGGACAGCGTGTGGCCTTTCTGAGCCAGTCCCAGGAACCACACTTCAGGGGCCAGTGCGAGCGCAAAACATTTCCTCATCTACTGCAGGTGGCCTCCTCCACTCGAAATGGTTTTTTGTAAATAGTTTGGGGAAAAAAAAGAAACCGCTTCTCACCGTTCCTTTGCAGCATCTCACCTTTCAAGAGAGAGGTGGCTTGTGTTTGTTTTTCCATTAAAAGAAGTTTTATTTTGTAACTATTCTACTCGTGAAATCACACTAACCCCAGCCTGTCGCTGGCTAACCATGCAGGCCTGTCTGTTTCCCATCCACCATGCAGGCTGAAGGGTCCCATTCTGGGCCCATCAAGAGCCCCTACTGGCCCAGGCCCTGCAGCCTCGCAGCGCACCTGGCCCTCCTTCCTGAGGAGCAAGTGCCTTCCACTCCTTCCCAGTCAGCTACCTTTGAATCCTTCTGTAGTCTGCCAAGTGAGCAACCAAAGCATTCTTTCTTTCGTCTTAAGTTTTGCCTCTTAAAAGCATCCGGAAGCAGTGATGTTGCTCGTCCGTCGTCTGGCTCACCCCGGCCCTGGACTCCCACGGGCTTTGATCTTTGCACACTTTGTTCTGGTCGTCAGAGGTGGTCTCCCCCCACTATCAGATACTTCTTCAAGGCAGTCACAGTGTCTGGGCCTTTCCCAAGGTCTAACCCTAACCCCCCTACTGCCCTCTGTGGAGAATACTTGCTGTTTCAGAAGCACCCACCTGTCATCCTGGCCAGACTTCCTTGTAGCGAGCTGGCCCTCCGGTGGGTGGAGAGAATTGATTCCTGCTTGTGGATAGCCCGCAGTGAGCGTTTCTTACTGCTTCCCACTTTTCAAAACCATGACGGCCTCTGCCGGTCCAGGGCCTCCACGACCTGTAGCTTTCCTTCAAAAGGAAGAGACGGTAAACCCCCGTGAGAAATTATCTGTCATGCACCTGTTTGCGGATTCAGGTTGGTAACTCAGCCCTTGGAGAAGCTGACCTCTTCAAATATCACGGTTTTGATGGCTAGTTTGTTTTTCCTTTTCTTGATGTCCTAAGACAGCCTGAACTTAGCATCTGGAGCTTAGTGTCTCCCGTCCTTCCATTTCTTCTTTCCTCCTCCCCCAGCTCCTGTTTTGTTTTTGGTTTTTTAAGTACTTTTGGCCACACAGCCCTTCCCCAAAGCGGGGTGCTGTGTTTTGCCTCCATCTTCATAGCCCTGCCGTGTAGAGGGACTTGTCCAGAGAGCTGCATGCTGCCCGACCACAGAGCCAAGCTGGAGCCACCACTCTGCCATTCTTAACTTTCCTGCCAACCAAAGCTTACATAAGGAGACCCAAGATCAGCTATCTTTTGGGCACCATCAAAGTAGCCCTGGGAAAGATTGCCAACAGAGTGGGAAAAGACTGTGGAAGAAGTGTTCCATCTCTTGTCTCTCTGTCTGTCTCTCTCTCAATCGGTCATTTTGTTGGGGAGGAACCTCAGTCCAGATTCTCCCTGGCGACTTGCGTGTCACTGCGTGTGCAGGCACATGTGGAGTGCTGTATTCGTGTTTTGAGTGTGTTATCTTTGGTGACTCTCCCTGTCTGAGAGCTTTAAACCCCAGAGATCTTCCAAGGTTTGATTTTACATTTTTAATGACTGAAAAAGAACCAAGTAGTGAGACCGGGAGCATCCTTAGCATGTTCAAGTGCCAGTGCAGGAGCGATGGGCACGCACGAAGTTGCTAATCCTGTAGTCAAACAGGCTGCGAATCCTTCTTGCACATCTCGTTCCTCCCATAGAACCAACGCTACAGCCCCAGCCAGCCTGCTCCCTGCAGTTCATGTTTAATGGTTGGCCCAAGGCTGGCAGAAGTCACACACTTTGTAAAGTCACGAAAGGACCTGCTACTTTTCTTAATGTCGGTGTGATGAGGTGATGGCCAATTAAGATGTCAGTTCGTGTGGGCATTAAAACCCCAACACAACAGCAGCATGATCTGCTGTGCCCGGTGCATTGCCCGTTCAGAATGAGCATAGTTCCGTTTTATTTGGAAGGGACAAAACTCCTCTCCCCGGGATCTCTGGATTTTCAGAAGCCCGACGGTCCTCTGTCCAGTCTACGTAGGGCTTGCCTTGAAAGTATAATGGCAATGGAGGGTCCGTGGCATCTCACAGGCATCATTATTTACTCAAACACCAGGGAACGTCAGAGCAGGGTTAAATGCAGTCTTTGGGAATGAGGAACACTGGTGTACTAACATAGCTTAGTAGGGCCTTTGCTCCAGAATCTGAGGGGTTCCAGGAGGCACCAGTGAACCGTTACTACCAGAAGCCAGTGTCCAGCCGGTCACTGGACGATGACTAGTCCTCATTGCTCTCTCTCCCCCCGCTGTGTGTCCAAGGTCAGAGCGTGAACACCAACTTCTCATGCAGTCATGTTAGCTGAATGGAAACCTCCCACCCAGCCAGAGAAGGTTGTCCCTGCCTCGTGACCGATTCTTCCCATGAGCCCTCTCTAGTCTCTCCCTCCTTTATGGGCGTTTTGTTGCCTCTCTTTCAATTCCCAACTCCAGAGACAACGTGGTAGTGCTAGCTTTAGGGGTGGGGGGCCCCTTGTATACTCACCTGCCCATTTCAAGAAGAGGCCAGGAATTGATTCGTTCTTGCCAAGCTAGGAGAGCCTGTAGCTGAGTTTCTTGTGACGTTGTGTGGCCCAGCCACATTTCCTAGTGGGCCGTTCCCTTCTCTGCCTTCCCGTGACGAAGGGGACCAGCGGCTTCCATTGGGGAGCTGTCCTGGCTTCTCACGGAAGGAATCAAGAAACAATGATAGCCCCCCCCACCTCTCTGCTCACACCCCCTCCGCCACCCTTTCCCAAACTGCTGAGGAACTCCGGCCCCCAGTGCTGATGGACCGGGCAGTGTGCAGAACAGCTTGACGGGCCAGAGGCCCGTGGGCAAAGAGCAGTTAGTGAAGTCTTGGCTTTCTAGAATCCAGAAGGGTGTGGCGGAAGCGCCTGTTGGTGGTGCTCATGCGTGTGGTTGCTCACCGGGCTGCTGCCTGCAAGCTCAGCAGCTGGAGACCACCAGCCACTTGTTGGGAGACACACGACTCGGTGGCAGACCCAGCTAGAGCAGCTTCCATATCATGGGTTGGCATTCTAGCACACTCAGAACTGCCGCGACCCTACTCCCACTGAGGTTCTTTGCTCGAGTCCTGGGCCACCCCAGCTGGGTTCTCCTCGTTTGTAGCAAGGGAGGGAGGAGAGTGGCCTGCTCTCTTAACTGCCGCCCTTCCCGAAGATGAAGGTGAAAGGTGTGAAAATCAAAGGGTTCCTAGTGGATGTTGAGCCTCCCCCAAATGTACAGGTGTGCTGCTCTATGCTTCCCATGGGAGATCGCCGTGGCCCCCCCTCCCCCCCAACATCTTACCCATTGGGCTAGTGAATCAGAAACCTTCCCCAGGGAGAGAAGCATGCCTGTGCTCTCCTGCACAGTCTCTGTAGCCAGCACTCAGGCTCCCAGCCAGTTGCCAGATAGTAGAACTGAAGGGTGGCCTCCCGGCATACTGGAGAAGTACTGGGGCTAGCCAGTGAGCCCTGGGTTCTTTCCATCGTACAGAGACTACTGCCAGCCCTTATTTCCAGGGACTTCTTTTCTGGGCATCTTGAGCTGTAGACTGAGTGTTTTCTAGGGACCAAAGGGACTAGCGTGTGCTCTTAATGAAAATGGTTTTCTGTCTTCCCTGATGAGTCTGGAGAATTCACGTTCGCAGGCCACCCTTGGGAGAGGCTTGGTGAGGAAAGCTGTGGGCCTGCTTAGTTACCATGTTGCTGTAACTGTTAGATGCCATAGAGTAGTTCCGACTCCTAGCGGCCATTCTGTCCAACAGAAGGAGATCCTGCCCAGTCCTGCGCCAGCCTCCGAGCCATCGCTGTGTGTGAGCCTGTCGTTGGCAACCACTGTGTCCATCTGTCTTGTTCAAGGTCTTCCCCTTTTTCATTCACCCACTACTTTGGTGAACACATGTTCCGTCTCAGGGACGGCCCTTCCTGCTGACAGCTCCAAAGTACACAAGATGAAGTCTCACCACCCTCACTTCTAAAGAGCACACTGGCTGGACTTCTCCCAAGTCACATTTGTTTTCTGGCAGCCCATGGCTTGCTCAGTGTTCTTTGCCAACACCATCATTCAAATGCATCAGTTCTTCTCTGATCTTCCTGAGTCACGGTCCAGCTTTTGCCTGCATACGAGGCAGTTCAAACTACAAGGCCTCCTGCAACACATATACCAAACTGCCAAGGCCCATGTCAGGCACACCGCAGTCCTCAGAGTAACGCTGCTGCTTACACTCCTCAGAGAGGTCTTTCACAGCAGATCTGCCCCGAGCGATACTTCACTTGGTCTCCTGGCTGATGCTCCCTCCCATCGGCATGGATTGTGGCTCCAAGTAAAATGAAATCCACGCTGTCTTCAGTCTTTCTCCACTTCTCGTGGTGTTTGTGGCTTGTTGGTCCAAGGTGTGAGGGCTTGCGATGTCTCTGTGTTGCAGCGGAATCCGTTCTGCAGGCTGCAGTCTTCGCTCTCATCAGTAAGTGTTTCAAGTCTTTGCTTTCAGCAGTGAGGTTGTGCCATCGGCATATTGCAGCTTGTTCGTGAGTCTTCCTCCCATCCTGATACCATGTTCTTATTCTTCCTGTCGCGTGCACACGATAAAGAGCCGTAAGCGGTGATTCTTTTTGGAATGATGCATCATAATAAACTGACCCGAAAGAATGCAATGGCTTTTCAAGTGCAGCTGCTGCGAAGCAGCACCCAAACCCCTGCCCTTTCTGAGCAGTTGTGCACAGGTTGGATTACTGAAGGTAAAACCAGAGCAGCCGCCTGGCCTGCTTTCTAAGTATCCTGCCGTGTTGCCATTGCCTGGATAACTCCTCCGTGCACTGGGAGCCCTGAGCCAGCACGGCATCTGCTTTTGCCAACCTGGAAAACCTCCAGCTTGGCTGCTTGGCCCAGGTCTTCAAGGGCATGGGCACATCACTGGTAGGAGTGGTGACCTGGCTTCACTGTTAGCATAGGTCTTGTTAGGTTTGTGAAGGTAAACTTAAACAGTGGTTGGAGTGAGAAGCGTGCCCCTGCCAGTTCTTCCCGGGACGCTGGTGAAAATCGCCATAATTCGCCAAGCTGCATGCCCACAGAATCTTAATGATCCCTCTCTGTCTAAAGGCAGCTAATGTTAAGAGAAGGGGAAAGAGATAGAATAAGAATACACAAGTTGCCAGTGGGGGAGCCGATGTTTTCTTGGCCCTTGTTTGTCCATTGATCAAGTTACCTGTAAACTGGAATTTGTAAGGGGTTCTGTGATACCCCGAGTCTGTTGCTATAATCTGTGAAAATGAGAAGAGGGGACATGTAAATAAATAGAAACCAAACATTTTTTTAATCTAGTTAACATTTTAAAATCACTCTCATTCTTTCTTACCCACTTTTTGGCAGATGATTTCTTTTTTTACTTTGATGGATGACTGAAATTACAAACAGTGGTTGGGGTGAGCCTGGTCAGTCCTGAAAGTGCATGTCAAGAACTGGAGATAACTTTCAGAATTATCCCATGCAAATATGCCCTGTTCTACCCCAATAAAATATTCAGAAAGATCGATACCTGCTTTTATTCCTCGAGTACCTTCTCTGTGTCCGGCCGTGCACTAAACAAGCTATTGCCAGTGAACAGAGGACTGCCGTTCCAGCTTCGTGGCAAACAAGTGTATGAAAGCGGGCTCTGCGTGCGCAGTGCTGTCCAGGCCACTGAGTGCGTGCTAGAAGACGGTAGCCGGTGTCTGGTTTAGACCCGAGCTTCTCAGAGGAAGTGCAGACTCTCCCCAGAAGGGAGGCAGTGGGCCCCATGACCAGGGGTGGTGGGCTGGAGGGCACCGGGCTTGGGAGTTAGGGTGAGCAGTGCGTCCTCCTGCACTGGGAGGCCAGGACCAGTTGAAACCCTGAAGGTCAGTTTTGAAGTCACTGACAGACTGGTGATAAAATGTACATGGCAATGGAAAGCTAGACTACCCACGATGATGTTGAAAGGCTTCTGGTAACTGACTGCAAGACTTTCTATAAAGGCGCAGTAACATTGAGACAGGGTGCCATCAACGCCAGGACAGCCACAGCGATCCGTGGGACACTCGTGGGGCTGGTTTTTACTCAGCAAAGGGGTCAAGGCCACTCAGTGGGGAAAGCAGTCACGTCAATGGACGGTGCCAGAACAACTGGATAATTCATTTGGGAGAAAATGGCCATCAACCTTTCTTCCCTACCCACCGTGTATAGTAATTATCTCATAACGGATGGCTCGTAGATCCGAATGCAAACACGAAAACTAGAAGGCTACTAGGAGAAAGGAAAAGAAACCCGTGATCTTGAGTTCAGTTTGACTCGTTGATTCCGACTCAGGAGCTCTAGGACCGGGTCGAACAGCCCTGTGGGGAATGACTGCGATTCTTCACAGGAACAGAAAGCCTCATCTTTCTCCGGTGGGGCGGCCGGGCTTTCAAGCTGCTGACCCCCTATACCACCAGGGCTCCTTGATGGTGGGTCAGGGGATGGTGTTTCAGCCAACACAAAAGATCGGTGATAGACCTTCATCAAAAGTAAGACTTCAAAACATGTAATAAAGGAAAAAGCCAGCTCACAGTCTGGACTAAGAGTCTCAATACATTTATTTGACAAGATTTAAACCCAGAATACATCAAGACCGTTCTATTTTTAAAAGAGGAAAATTTTTGAGCAGATACTTTCCAAAAGAAAATACACTAAGAGCTTTTAATAAAGACACAAATAGTGGCTGGCACTCAGCATCATTTGGTCGTGAGGGAAATGCAAATGACTGCTACACTGAGGTGCCCGTTACCAACCTCTGGAACAGCCAGACGCACTGCTGTCCGCTTGGTTCTGATTTCTAGGACAGCGTCGAACTGCTCCATGGGGTTTCCAAGACTACATCATTCCAGAAGCGAACAGCCTCCTCTTCCTCCCTCGGAGCAGAAAGTGGTTTGAACCATTGACCTTGTAGTTAACAGCCCAACGTTTACCCCACTATGCCACCAGCACAGCTTAACAACTACCAGAATGATTCCATTTAAAAAGAAAGACAGAAGTAAAACTTGACAATACCACGTGTTGGCCAAGACGGAGCTGCTGAAACGCTCAGCTTGCTGGTGGACAGGTGGACAGGAATGCCACTTGAGATAATGAGTGTTTGTTTGGTGTGGGGTGGGGCAATTCCGCCCATCTATTTACCCAGGAAAAATGAAAGCATTGTACAACTCTTCTCGATATGATTGAAGTGTTGGATTGTATGGCATGTGGATGAAGTTCCAATAAAATTGTTAAAAAGGAAAACGAAAGCTTGTCCGCACAAGGATTGCAGTGGAATGCTGCTAGCTGCTTACGTCATAGTACTCCAACACGAGCCACCCCAGATGAACAGGTAAGTTGTGGAATACACATGAGCGGGGGGAGAGCAAGTTCCTCTACCCACAAGATGGATGAAGTGCACCACAGAAAGAAGCCAAGCACAGAAGTATATGTAGACTGAGTAATGCTCTCAGCTGTAACGGCCAGGTTCCACTCCCCCCAGCAGAACCTGGGAAGAAAGGCCTGGTGATCTACTTCTGAAAAACAAAAATCAGCCATTGAAACTGAGCACACTTCTCTGCAGCCCCACGCCCACGCAGAAACTGGATACGACTTAGAAACTAGCAGAGACTGCAGTCAGATTCCACTGAAATAGGGTGTCGCCCCTCCCCCAGGCGGTCTGCTCCCATAAAGGTTCCCTCTCAGGAATCCGAGAGGGCACTATGACTCAGAATTGGCCAGGAGGTGGTCAGTTTGGTTTCGGATGGGACAGAAGAATTGGAGTGATTGGGATGTTCTATATGGTGATCTTGTTGGTTACGTGGATGTAAACGTGTGTCAAAACTCACCACATTGGACAGTTAAAATATCCACTGTATGTAAGTTATTGTAAATATGATTGTAAATTAAAGTGAACGTAGGGTAACCTGCAGGGGGGAGAGCAGACACAAGAAGGGTGTAGCAGGACCAGTTAGGAGGCCCTTTATGTGTATAGTCTTCTAGGCCAGGCCTAAGGGTCACTGGTCGCACAGTGGTTAAAGCGCTCTATGGCTAACCTACAGATTCCTGGTTAAACCCACTGACCGCTCTGGGGCGGAAAGGCCAGAGCAGTCTGTTGCCATGGATTTACTGTCTCAGAAACTTCGTGAGGCAGTTCTGCTCTATCCAAACCCCAAAACCAGACATTGCCATCAAGTCAAGACTAACCTAACTGTCCACGGGAGTAGAAAGCCTAGTCTTTCTTGTACAGAGCTGCCGGTGGCTTCGAACTGCCAACGATGAGGTTCCAGGCCCAGCGCAATACCCCCTGCTCTGTCCTAGAAGGTCACTGTGTGTCCGAATTGCCTTGATGGCAGCAGGTCTAGGCCAGGTCTGGGAGGAGGGAAGGGCTGGGGAGGAATGATTGACTTAGATGGATGCACAGGTGACTCTATGGACTCCTTATTCCCGAAGCCCGAGTTTACCGCCACTTCAGGAAAGGAGCAGCCCATGTGGAAGCTGATAAAGGTAAGAAGATAAAGCAGTAGGTGGGATGTGAAAGTACAAAGTCTAACTCTGTGGTCTTGCATTGCCTTGAGGTTAGGGCCCGCATCCACATAGCCAACATCCTGGAAGCGCCCATCCACCGTGGATTTCACAGCCTCTCAGAGCCCTGGCCTCTGCCCTGCTCAGCCCCCAGAGGCAGGGCCATTCTTCTGTCCAGAAAGTGGTTTACACAAGATGTTCCCTGCATGAGAGTCACTACAGCAAGGGCATTCCTACCACTTTATCTGGATAACACGGCCACCCCAGCGCAGGGCAGAATTGTCTGACACCTTTCCAGAAGGGTGACTCCCCACTGACCTCCTGGGACTTTAGTCTTCACAGCTAAGTTTCAACTTGTTCCAGATATTTCAAATGTTTGGAGGCCCCCCCAGACGGAATTATGTGCAGAGCGGCAGGTGTTGTGCCATTTTCTTCAGGTCCCCAACTCAAGCAGCAGAGAGCCTCTGGGGACCGCGTGGCCCCCGAAACCTACCTCCACGCACACGGAACACTTGCCCCAGATCCTCAGGGCCCCTTTGGGCAATGTCTGCTCACGAAGCCCTGCCAGGTCCTTGGTCGGCGACACGGAGCGCCCTCCAGGCGGCAGGGGTGGCGCCGGGCTCTCGAGCCCCCGCAGGAGTCGCGGGGAGCCGGGCAGGCGCGCGCCAACCCAGGAGCTGCAACTTCCTAGGAATTCGCTTGGGGTGGCGACGGAGACGGCGGGGGATGGACGGCGGGGAGGCAGCTAGATCAAAGGGAGCCGCCCGCTGGGCCAAGACGGCCACCCGTCCCGGGAGGGCGGGGGACACCCCGACGCTGACCCGGGGAGCCGCCCACTCCGCCCCGCCCCCGCGGGGGCGCGGCCGGCCTGCAGACTGGGCCGCGGAGGCGCGGGCGGAGCGGCCGAGGGAGCGATGCTCCGGGGCGCGCTGCTGCTGGCCGTGCTGCTGGCCGCCGGGCGCGGGCTCCCGCTGAGGACGCCGCGGGGCCCCGGAGCCCGGCCCCGCAGCCCCACCAGCCCGCCCGAGGTGAGCCGGGACGCGGCACGGCCGCCCGAGAGCGAGGGGCGCGGGCAGGCCCGGACGCCCTGCCCCGAGCGGGGGGTCTCCGGGAACCCCACTGGCCCGCGCGGTGCGTCGGGGAGAACTTGCCCGCTGGGCCGCGGAAAGTAAGTCGGCAGCTGGGAGCAGCCGCCACGCACCCGGCTCGCCGCCCTGAGCAAACTGCTCCTGCAGCCGCACTTAGCGGAGAGGACCGCGGCACTTCGTGGAGTGAGTGGCCGGCTGCGGCTGCTGCGGATTTGCGGGAGGAGGGGGAGATCGGCATAGTCAAAGGGTGATCCCGTGGGCCAGCCTCTTAATTGAAATCCGCCAAGGATTCCAGCCCCTTCAGGGGTAAGCTGAGGCAAGACGAGGCCATCAGGAAGGGACTTTTAGATTACTTTGTTCATGGAAAAGCGGGCGATAGGGCCCGGCGGAGGACTGCCCTCCCCGCCCTTACGGAGGAGGTAGGGGATGTACTCCTTACCCAGTAGGAGGATGCTGGCCTCTGGGTGGGCATTGGGGATCTCAGAGGAGTGGGTCAGAAGAGGTCTCGCCTTGGAGAGAAGCCCTGGTCTGCAGAACTTGGGCCAGACATCACTAGGCATCAACAGCCCAGCCTATCCCCCTGGATTACGGTGGATGTTTTTGGCCATGGGGATGAAGCCACCACAGGGCTGTGTGACAGTTGGTCCTGGGTCCCCGGTTCTCCCTGCACCGAGCTAGGAGGAAAGTCTTGCCTCCATTTTTTGGAGGCGCTTGGAGAGCTGAGGAGTGGTGGGGGCCTGGGGCCACCGTGCTGTAGTGCCCAGCGCCCTGCGCAATCCAGAGGTGCGCTTGAGGGCTCCCTGCACAATCCAGAGGAGCCAGCAGCTGCCTGTGCTAGAGGCAGTCTCAGTAGACAGTGTTTCCCCACCTCTTTTCATTAGCACCTGCCAAGGAACCTTTGAGGTGCCCTGGGGGTGTTGTGGGTTACCAGCTGTCTGCTGCAATAAGGATTTAAACCCCTAAGGAGGAGCCAGTTCTGCTAAGCACTGTGGGATTGGCTGAGTCAGAATCAACTCAATGGCTGGGGTTTGTTTTTTGGGTGGGGTTAAGGTTGTTGGTTCATCAGTAGAACTCTTCCCTTCCTTGTGGCCAATGCATGACCGGTGCAGCCCAAGCCCATCTGTCAGGTGCTGAACAGGCTTCAGGAGAGCTTCCTGGCTAAAACAGACTCGGAAGAAAGGCCTGGTCATCTACTCCTAAAAATAGGCAGGTTTTCCTTGTATCTTGTGTGTGGGATCATCCTGCGCCCAGTGGCCGCTAACAAAAGCAAGGACAAGGAGCCCTTCAGAGCCCCCCAGCTCCCCATCTGCCCCCAGTAAAATGTTAATACCACAGATCTACTGTTTAACTCTTTATGTACTGCATCTCTTTGGAGTGTCACAAACCATTGAAAAAGTGCATTTCCGCCC